GCTTTGGGTAGAATTGTCATTTTCACAATGTTGAGTCTACCTATCCATGAGCATGGTATGTTTTTCCATTTATGTAGATCACTTTGGGTTTCTTGTAGTAGTGTTTTGTAGTTTTCTTTAATACAAAGGACTTTTCATCTGCTGAGCTGGATGGTCCCACTGATCCATATCTTTGGTGTTCACCGTTCTTATTTCTTGACATCTGTTCCCAGAAAAAGTACAAGGAAGACGCAGAGAAGTCCATGCCATATTATGAGACTGTTTTGGACACCCCTGAGATGCAGAGAGTCCGGGAGAACCAAAAGAACTTCAGCCTTGTAAGTTTTCATTGAACCTAATGCAGAGCCACTTGTACCTGGGATCAGGTGGAGTAAGGAGGGCATGGCTGGATGCACACACTTGGGTATCCCACCCCTGCAATGGTGCCAAGGAGCAGCTCTTCATTTCTCCCATCCATGCCCCTGCAAATGTGTGCACAATTCTTCTCTGGGCTCACCCTATATATCAACCCTGCACTACAGCATGACCGACCTATCTGTCCTCTTTTCGGTGGCTTCCCATCACTGACTATCACCATTCTCCATTACTGGTGAATCTATCTTTTTTTAAAGTTAATTCTAGGCAAGGAATCCTTAAAAATAACCAAATTTGACACATTATAAGTTTTAGGGTCTTTCAAAATTAATTTCTCCACAAAATTCTTATTAAACGATTTCTCTTTGGCTATCAGACCATGATTAGTGTGGCATAGACTTTTTTTAAAAAAACACGGAGCTTTAACTTCCTTTGTACAACATAGGACGATTAAAAATATATAAATCAAATGCTGAAATCTTAACAAGTTGTTTATTCTTTCTTCATAGCTCCAATACCAGTGTGACCTTAAAAACAGTAAAGGAAAAATTACAGTTGTTCAAGACACACCAGAAATACTGCGTGTTAAAGAAAATCAAAAGAATTTCAGCTCGGTATATATACTGTTTATTTTCCATTTAATGCTAACCTAATAATTCTATTCTCCTCTTTAAAAGTCCGTAGCCCTGCGGTGATTCAGACAATTAACATCTAACCTCCCCAGTTAATACTAGTGGTTATTTGTAAAATTCCCATCCTTTGCTCCAAAATCATCTCTTCAGAGGCCATTTGAAATAACAACTTAAAACTGCTAACAAAGCAAGTTTTCTTTCTTTTTAACTTTTTAATCCCAGTGCAGTAACATGTGTTGTCTTGCTCCAGGAAGATGGACTTCTTTTTAACATTATGATTTCTTTTATTATACCTCCCCAAAATAACTGACTTCGTATTTCTTTAATGGATTTTGTTTCATGTGGGAGTGTTTTTTTTTAATCAAAGTTTTCTGATTTTTCTCATCCTTGTATTAATATGGTACAATAACCTTAAAAGAAATCTCAAGATCTGGAAAGCAATTCGTGTTATAGCTACCGTTTGAGTCGCTGATACTGACCTAGAAGATACCAGATGTAATGCTCAGGCTCTTGCCTAAGAACAGTCTCAAGCGTCTTTTGTTTTCACAGAAGCCATGTTTCCTAGTCTTTCTCCAGAAATTGCTGGTTTTTCCTTCCTTCTGTGTAATGCTGTCCTGATTCTGAATGCCCAGGTTTTATATAAAGAGGATGTCTCACCAGGAACGGCGATTGGAAAGACTCCTGAGATGATGAGAGTGAAGCAAACTCAGGACCAGATTAGCTCGGTAAAGACACGGTGGACAATTTTCAATATTTTCTTGCTTCCTTTGATAATTGACATTGATGTCTGAGCTGCACTCAAAACCTTTGTCACCAGTAGCAGCTTACGTTGCTAAAACAGATGCTTGGTGTGTGCCAGTGGGGAGACTCAGCTCATATTCAGAGCACTTTTCACGAGGGAGAGTTTAGATATAGAAAACAGAGGATTCTAAGAAAGTAGAATCTGTTAGAAAGAGCCAAGAATCAGTCTTCCTGTATACCTGTATCTGTACATATCTGTCCTAGGTCAAATGAACTGTTGGGTATAAAATCATTGGAGTATATGGGAAATACGAGGGAGTCCTGGTGGCACAGTTGGGGCCCTGGTGGCACAGTGGTTAAGCATTTGGCTGCTAACCAAAAGGTCAGCAGTACAAATCCACCAGCCACTCCTTGGAATCCCTATAGAGCATTCTACTCTGTCCTATAAGATCGCTAAGAGTCAGAATTGACTCTATGGCAAAGGGTTTTTTTTTTTTAATTTTTGGTTTGGTGGCTCAGTGGTTAAGCGTTTGGCTGCTAACCAAAATGTCGGCAGTACAAATCCACCAGCCGCTCCTTGGAAACCCTATAGAGAAGTTCTACTCTGTCCTACAGGGTCACCATGAATCGACTTGATGGCAGTGGGTTTGGTTTTTTTTTTTTTTTAGTGCAAGTGTAGAAGCCCTGGTATCATAATGGCTGTGATCAGCTGCTAACTGAAAGTCAGGGATATGAACCCACCAGCTACTCCATGAGAGAAAGGTGTGGCAGTCTGCTTCCGTAAAGATTACAGCCTTGAAAATCCTATAGGGCAGTACTACCCTGTAATACAGGGTCACTATAAGTCAAGATTGACTTGATGGCAACAGATTTTGTTTTCTTTTGTTTTTTTGGTTAGTGTAAGTATGGGCCCTCCCACCTCTGCTCCTACAGAGACAAGGGAGAGTGTAGCTATCCTTGTTCTCCTCTGACTCAGCCTTGGAGCCCTGGTGGCTCAGTGGTTAAGAGCTCGGCTGCCAACCAAAAGGTTGAATCCACCAGCCGCTCCTTGGATATGTTATGGGGCAGTTCAGAATTTGGCCCCATTCACACTATGTAGGGTGTGTGTGTTCTCTAAACTATGATTTTAAAACTTGGTGGAATAATTCAGAAAAGGACAGTGGTGATGGTTGCACATGATGAACATAATCAATGTCACTGAATTGTACGTGTAAAAATTGTTGAATTGGCAGATGTTTTATTATACATATTTTTACCACACACACACACACACACAAACTTGGGGGACTACTAATTAGATACACATACATACTGGGAAGAATAACTATCTAGCATGTAATAATACCTATTATTTCCTATTTTTCTGTCTACAGGTAAAGTATAAGGAAACAATTGGACAAGGAACTCCTATTCCTGACCTGCCTGAAGTGAAACGTGTCAAGGAGACACAGAAGCACATTAGCTCGGTAGTGGCCCATATTCTCAGCTTCCATTTGTGTGACTGACCACCTCCCAGTTGCTGCTAGCTCCATTTCATCCCTTCTCCCTCCTACCAAAGGTTTTCCATGCCTTAGTGATGTTGTGAGCCCTGGTGGCGCAGTGGTTAAGCACTCGCCTAAGTGCTTGCCTGCCAACCAGCAGGTTGGCAGTTTGAACCCACCAGCTGCTCAGTGAAGGAGAAACATGTGGCAGTCTGCTTCCATAAAAATGTACAGCCTTGGAAACCCTATGGGCAGTTCTACTCTATCCTACAGGGTTGCTGTGAGTTGATATCAGCTCAGCAGCAATGGATTAAGGATGTTGTGTGAAGGGGGCACTGCAGATTGCAAAAGTAGACAAGAAACTTAACGAAGTCTATGCAGTGTTTTCCCTTCCATTTCAAGATCTCTTGCCTTGTATCTTCTGCTCAAGGAGCCCTGGTGGTACCGTGGCTAAGCATTCGGCTGACTGCTAACCAAATGGTCAGCAGTTCGAACCCACCAGCAGCTCTGCAGAGGAAAGATGTGGCAGTCTGCTTCTGTAAAGATTGCAGCCTTGGAAACCCTATGGGACCGTTCTACTCTGTCCTATAGAGTTGCTAGGAGTCCAAAAGGATTCTATGGCAATGGGTTTGGTTTTCTTTTTTTTTTCTGCTCAGAGTTTGTGTGGTGCGAACGGTTAACATATTTGGCTGCTAGCAGAAAGGTTGGGGGTTTGAGTCCACCCAGAAGTGCCTTGGAAGAAAGGCTTGATGATCTTTCTGAATAATCAGTCATTGAAAACTCCATGGAGCCCAGCTCTACTCTGACATACAAGGGAGTACCATGAGTCAGAGTCAACTCGATGGCAACTGGTTATTCTCTGCTCTCTCTCCTTCTTGTAAATGCAATACATATTTAAGGTGCTGGCTATTCCCTGCCAACATGGCATATTATATATTAAGCCTGTTCTTTAACAGGAATTTCAGGCACCTGTGCACACCGTGTGTGTTGGGGGGAAGGGAGGGAAAGCTCAGACTTGAAATCTCAGGTTAGCAAACATTTCTCCTGACCCATTAAGCGAGCCCTGCCTCTGCCCCTCACTCTTCCCCATCCACAAGCAGATTCTAAACAGTTATTGTCTACTAGCAAGTGACAATGTGAAGTTTAGGGTATGGTTTGTGACCAATAAAAGGGATGGAGCTTGGTCTTGCAGACTCCCCTAGTCACTGGAGAACCAAACTCTCATGTGATTTCTATTAGAAAATACTTGCTATTTCTCTTGCTGGTCATTCATATTATTCAGATCTCATTCTTTTTCACTTCCTGCTTATACTCTGTGGTACAAATTTCACTTAGACTTTTATGTCCACTAATACAAGAAAGCAACTGCCCTGTGACTTTGTGGTGTTTGATAGCCCTTCTTGCCTTTCTCTGATTTTTGTTGTTGTTGTTGTCTATGATCATTTCTGCGGTCTTGCTGGGGGAGGGGGGAAGAGGGTTCAGGGTAAAGAAGCACATCTTAGTTACCAAAATGGTAGGGTTTTAGAGATTCCTAACATTTATTTACCAGCAAAACAACGATATTGCCATTAACTTGTCACTGATTTTAGGAATTCACCTGTGACACAGACCCCTAGGTTTTTTTGTGACTGTCCCCATTCCATTCACTAATACAACATAGAATTCATCCATCTGAAAAGAATGAAGGCTGAAAATTCTTGTTAACATTAACAGGGGAGGAAGAAGAGAAGGCGGCAAGAGGCTTAAGAAGTGAAGGCCCTTTATGCTTTTCATTCAAATTTACAGTCAGTCATATGATAAAACTGGAACACCAAACCAATTGCCATCGAGTCAATTCCAACTCATGACAACCCCATGTGTATCAGAGTAAAACTGTGCTCCATAGGGTTTTCAATGGCTGGGTTTTCAGAAGTAGATCACCAGGCCTTTCTTTCAACAGTCCTTTGATACTACCACTAAAAAACAGGGACTCCCCAGTTTGGAAAGCATTACTTTACATGATCCAGCAATCACTAGTAAAAATTTCAGGGAATGAGCTCCTCCTAAAAAAATAAATTGTTTACATCTTCTCCCATTAAGGATTCCTACCAGTTGGGAATTTTCATCAAAAAATACAAAGTAAACAGAAAACTCTCAACAACCCTGAAGGAATAGAATATCATGTGACTAGAAAAATTCAAAACCAAGCAACTCATTTACAAATTTACAAATCTACTGAGAACTTGCTACATTTAAGGCACTGAGACTAGGTGTTACAAAATGATTTTTCACATTGTTTAATTCATTATCACCATTTAATACATTTTCGGAATGTTCTTGACTATAAAAAATGCATAATTTGGGACCTAGTTTTCAAGGTAGTAAGACTGCTACTTTTTAAAGAGAAAACATGAATATTTATGGCATTTCTTTCCCTTATTCCTCGAGTATCATATTTGAAAACTAGATTGTTTTTATGGTACTAAAGGCTTTCCACCAAATAGCCCACTTGTAATGTAATCTAAAGGATCCATGGTCATTTTACCTTTTTGGGTGTTCTAATTATCTCCTACAGGTTATGTACAAAGAAAACTTGGGAACAGGCATTCCAACCACTGACACTCCAGAGATTCAGAGAGTGAGACGCAATCAAGAGAACTTTAGCTCGGTATTTACAAATACATCAAATAAGAACCTCTATGTCCCATAAAAAAAATTTACCAGAATAACCCATCATCCTTTTATAAAAAGTAACATCTTAACAACAGTTCTGTGTGTGTTTATGTGTGTGTGTTATTACCTACCTGACCAAAACCATCTGGATTTACACAAAGTGACTCACTTTTCCGATTGTATGCTAACGTTTTCTTTGACTGACAAGTGTGAATACTTAGATCTGAGGTACTGTAAATAGAATTAACACAAGATTCTTCACCATCATACTCATATCCTATAACTCAATGGTTTTTGTTGTACTTTTTTGTTCCCAGAATTAGCATCATAGAGTTTATTATTAGAATTGCAAAGTAAAAAGTAAAAGCATTATCCCTACTAAAAAACGCCCTCCTCACATCCCCTACCCTAATTTTGTTTCTTCTTCAATCTTTGTGCTTGTTTTGAGTGTCTTCTGGGTACTTTCTTGTATCTCACAGGTTTTGTACAAAGAAAATTTGGGGACAGGAACCCCAGCTCCTATCACTCCAGAGATGGAGAGAGTCAAACGCAATCAAGAGAACTTTAGCTCGGTATTTCTTAGGGGCCAAAAATTCTTATTTAAAATAATATTTTTAACCCATCACAAATATATGATTTTTCTACCTTTAAAATTACTAAATTCATATAATGAAAATAATGATACCAATAATTAATCTCAGTTTTCAACTCAAATCTAATTTAGACTTCACTTTAGCTCTGGTGTGAAATTTTAATTGTGTTTTTCCTAAAACATAGATATTTATCACTTCCCTTAAAAACCTGTAATACTCAGATTTCCTTCATTCAATCTTCCTTTAATAACAGTAGGTGCTTCTAACTGGTGTGGTGCAGATTCAAAGTAAAGCCTAACATCCTTTCAAAAGGAAAATGTTAATTGGAATTTTATTTGTATTTACTGTTGCTATGTTGGACGTATTCTTTGTGTTGGCAGCTTTTCTTAAAAGAATGTGATTCCTAAACATTTTAATTCAAAAGATGACATAGTGATTCACAGTAATGCAGAAATACAAATTTACTGGTCTCAGCAATATTTTTGTACATCTTACAAGATATAAATGAGCTCCTCGTGGGGAATATGTTTAGGACCATTGAAAAGCTAGTTTTTATTTAGGTTTTAATCTTTATTAGTAACATTTATTAATATCTATTTTGTACTCTAAAATGACTCTTTAAAAATTTTGATTACCTAATTTAGTGTTACCAACATGATTAACTTGAAGTCTATTTGATAAATATAGCCTAACATTTCTCTCTTTGTGAGAAGCCAATCCACTCCTCCCTACAGAAGCAGCTGTGTATGTATGTATTAATGCTACTTAGCCACAAATTTTGTGTGGCTAAATGCCCAGTGCTAGTCTATCGCTGCTCTATTTCTTTAAATTATATAACAACAGAAAAATACTTCTAGAGATTATTGTAAAGGTTAAGTCTAGCTGAAAGATGGGCCCAGGTTAATTTGATTGTTGATTTTGTGCACACAGATATTGTACAAAGAGAACTTGATCAAGGGGACCCCCTTACCTGTCACTCCTGAGATGGAGCGAGTCAAACGCAATCAAGAAAACTTTAGCTCGGTATTTGGGAGAAAGCTCCCTTTAACTCAGTATTTAAAAAAATAACAATAACTTCCATAAAATAAAGCTTCTCACTATTAGTCCTTTTAAAATAATCAATTTAACAAATTCCTTTTTTTTTTTAAAAGCTCACCACCTGAATCCTTCTGTTTTTAAGACCTTTTCCTTACCATGTGATCCTAACGTCCTATACTTCCTGTAATAGTCCCTTAAAACGTTTAATTGGTTCCTTTCCTACTCTTTTCCCCTTTCACGTTTCTGCTGGGACTTATGAAGTTAATTAATTTCAAAAGTCAGAAAAACAACCACTGAAGTTTTATTTACTTAGGACTCTTTATTTGGTGTTTCTCGATTAGCTAGTGTTACAAGAAAAGATGAAGTACTTGAAGGCACATATAGAAATAGTGGCTCTGCTTGGGAACAGAGGTCACCTTAACATAGATCTTGTCTGGATAAATTGCAGCACCAAGAAAGAAACCTATTCAATATTGAAACCAAAACAATTTTACCTTTAAACTTGTTCTAAGCAAGTCATTTCATGACTAGAAATCCAGCCCTTCTGAATTTTTGAAACACATAAATCTGTCCATGAGTTTACATTTAATGTTATAGTCTCTTTTTATTAATATTACTGTTGTTGAAAAACTCAGTAACACCAAAATAGTCTGTGAAAACTTCTATATAAGGATTTTAGATTGTTTTATGCCTGAGATGGAGAATCAAATGTCAGCAGTAAAATTTAACTAGATTTTTTTGGGGGCAGGAGGGGTAGAAAGGGTGACCCAAAATGATTTTTAATAGTCATGTTGAATATTTTCTAAAAGTTAGAGATTCTTTCACATAATTAGGTCAGTAACTTTCTTTGGTCCCATTGTCTTTTTGTTTTGTTTTCCTTTGTTTTTAATTACTATTTACTAACTACCTTTCAATTTTGTTAAATTTTCAATGTAAGTTAATGTCTTTTGGAATGTTTTACTTACTGTTTTCCCTATTTTTAAAAATTATTATTATTATTTCTCTTTTTGAAAGGCTTGCATTTCCAAAAATCACTTTCCCATATTTTCTTCTATATTAAAGTGAGAGTTTTATTGTTTGTACCTAAGTGAAAATTTTAATGATCCTGATGGTTCTGGACGATTTCTTTTTTTCAAGTGACCATTTGTGTTAATTTTTACACAGGTTACATTTAAGCAAACTGTCCAGTGGTGCGTAGAGCCATTTTAGATACTGCAGGAAATAAACAGGGCTGCATATTAAAACATTGACTTTTAGAACTGACCCTCTCTACAGCTTGGATTTACTCAACAAAGACCAATTTTGCCAAGTTGCATAGATTTAGCCTGGGGTTTTAAATATCTGTTATACTGTAAAACAAACATTCTACCTAGGGAAAATAAATATTTGCCAATCAATTTAAAAAGCAATTTTTCTGTTGCACACTAGGCATTTTGGTACTTTTATGAAACTGTTTGTAGATGTTTTCCTCAATTCCTGACACAGAAAATAAATGTTTATATATGGGTTAGAATAAAAAGTCGAATATCAAATGCCCTGGCACTTCAGCTGAGGAAATATGGAACTTATTCTCAACCAGACCTACTCTTGAAAAGAGGTCAACTTGGTGAACTTGTCTTTCATGTCTGTAGGTCACCGATTTCCCTACAAGGTAGAGGAAGGGGCTGTCTTGACTGCTCTTTTTTTTTTTTTTTTTTCCTGCATGCTTTCTTTTGTCATACAGGTGTTGTATAAAGAAAACCTCGGGAAAGGGATCCCAATTCCCATCACTCCAGAGATGGAGAGAGTCAAACACAATCAAGAAAACTTTAGCTCGGTATTTAAAAGGAAAAAAAAAAATCCCTTTAACTTGAAAAAAAAATTTTTTAAAAGAAGATTAATGGCTAGAATTTTTAATCTAATCAATTTAACCAAATAAAACATTGACAGAAGTCTTGTTTGCAACTTAATGCTGCCGTTTCCTATGAATCATTTTCCCTATTTTGATTAAACTTTAATATAATCATTTAACTTTAAAAAAAAGTTTAATATTATATTTCAGCTCTTAAAAATGTAACATTCACATATATCCTGCTTTGGCAAACTTGACGTAAACATAAAGTTTACAAAAACATATTCTGCAAAGCTCAGACTGCTGGCCTCATTTCATTTCCTATACTAACCTTCTCTGTCTTTACTGGTATCTGTACAAATATTTTGTAGTTTCTTTTTTTAGCATCCTGTCATTGCTCTCCATTTGCCTCAAAAATAATTCTTCCCAATATGTTCACCCAAACTAAAAATCAAATATTTTGACTTCTTTTGAAAGTCAACAAAAGATTTGTGTGTATATATCTTCATATATACAATGTTTATAAACCCCAAATATCCGTCTGTGGTTTATTAATAGCATTTTCAATGCAAAAATAACTTCCTTAGTTTTGTTCTCTCTTGTCTTTTTAATCCCCCACCCCCACCCCCACCCCTACCCCTCCTAACTAGCTGGAGAAGACTAATTGTTCCCTTTCACGGTGATCTTCTTTGCTTGGAACTACAGCGATTAGTTCAAACAATAACAAAACTTTCTTTTCATATTTCTTAGTTGTTGCTGTCTTTCCTGCATTCCCTTGCTTTTAAGGATGTCATTGGGCTCATACTGGTTGGGTCTTAAAGCTTATGGTATTGCCCTTCCGCTAACTTACTTCTCTTCCTCCCTCACCTTCCACTCCCAACTGCCCCAAGAGGGAGAAAGATTGACTGCTTTTTGTTCTGGATGCTTTCTTATCATACAGGTGCTCTACAAAGAAAACCTGGGGACCGGAATTCCAATCCCCATCACTCCTGAGATGCAGAGAGTCAAACACAATCAAGAAAACATTAGCTCGGTATTTTGGAAAGAAAGGGAAAAAAAGATGCCACCTAACCACATAATTAACTTGATTCTTAACATGTTTTCTTCTTCTTTTTGTTTTTGTTTTTGAACCTACTTCCCTTTCTTTGCTTTTAATATATTTCATTTAGCAAAAGGACACCCTTTCTCGTTTCTGTGATAGCACTGGGACTTCTAATTTTTATTTCAGTTCATTCTGATTTTTATTTCATCTGATGCTTTTAAACACTTAAAAAATAACAAGTCTTTTTGTTTGCTTGAGTAACAGCAAAATCAATTTCTAACAATCTCAGATACCCACATGATTGTCTAGGAGGCACGGTGCTTAAAATGAGAAAATAACATGGGTAACTCAGATAGCCTCTCCGCGGTAGCTGAGGTCCTTGCTGCCCTACAGGGGTGAAGTTTTCCCTCCCAATAATGGCTTCCATTAGAGTAGTGTGTGGAGTCTTGTCGCATGTAACTCCTGGCTCCTTGGAATACTGTGTCATTTTGTAACAAGGAAGTTGAACTCACACTAAAACTTTACAACAAATG